ACAAGATTACAGGAGCAAAACTCTATATGAAGAAAAAGAGAAGAAAAGCAGAGCATTCTTCGTTAGATCCAAGAAAATCGCAGATACATTCAACATGTTTCACGCCTCGGCTCTGATACCAAATGTTAATCCCAAATACTAACAATCATACAATCATAAGCAATAATAGAAGAAGCAGATAGAAAGAAATCGACAAGTTTATACCCAAATCTGGTATACCGTATGAAAACCGGCCGCTGCTCTCCCTCGAGAAGGGAGAGCAGCGGCAACCCTAACCTCTCTCTATCTTTACGCCTCTGAACTCTAAGCCTTTTACGATTGTTAGGGTTCCCGTAAGTTAGCCTCCTTTTATAGGAGAAGTTGGCTAACTTACGGGTTACAAGGAAGCCCACGGGCTGATACACATTTGTGGCCCGTATTACACGATTAATTAATAACTACACAAATACAAAGATAACTAACTAGATTGAACACCATAAAATATTCCCAACACTGGTTATGTTGCGTCTCCGCGTTGGTTTGTCCTCCCAATCATGATCTTATTGTTTATCAGTCCTTTTCGGCTTTGATGGTTGACTCAGATGTGTCCATGTTTGACTCCCTTTTTACCCTTGCACCCATTGATAGAGTGTATATTCTAAAGAGAAGTGAGAGCTAGAGAGAGAAGTGCAATAACTTCTGTAATAAATGATTTCTCAACCCCTACAACTACTCCCAAGGGGAGTATTTATAAAGGAAATGTGGATTGGGCTCCCAAGTCTTGGGCTTAGGAGGCTCATTTACAATTGGACCAATACTAGGCCGAGTACAAAGTATGCAGAAATGACTAAGTATGAAATCCGGTTCTGTGAGCTCTCTATGGCCGACGAGGGTCTGGCCGACAGAGCCACGATCGACGGAGACACCTGGTTCTCCTGACTTCTGGATCATGTTCTGAGTTGATATTTTTCTGACCGATGGAGGGTCATCTGGCTGACGGAGGCCCCACTGAGTGACAGTTGTGCCTCTTATTCTTCTGAGTATGTGGGTCCTGGGGTCTAGACCCATATACTCAATCAGTATGTATTACTACAATCGTTACTTGTATACTTGCAAGTTTAGCCTGATCAATTTACCTCCACGACAAGTATCTTCTCATCAATTAATAATTCATTTGAATGATTTTTATGTAAATTTATGTTATCAATATGGAACACTTAGTTGCATATGATAATATTAAAATAAATGTTATTAATTTGTAGGGATAGTACGTTTGGAAAAGATTGTTTAACTTTCATAAACAATAATGTTAAAATAATTTCATATGATGGGAAGAGTTTTTCTTACATTATTACTAATTAATAAACAATCCGTGGATAAAATGCGACTATAAATTATTATAAGTAATTTGGGTAGTCACTATAATATAAAATTTGAACTTAATTATAGTAACTAAAAGTTACTAACTCACATTTGGAATTCTCCATGCCACATCAAGCAAAGTCTTCCACTCAATCCCCGATTCTCCACCATGAAGCGAAAAATCTTGTCTTGGCCGACCGTCAAGAGCTTTTACGAAAATGTTGCCTTCCTCTAGTGTTGTGCGAACCAACATGTACAGATCTTCCACCTACTGCGTTATGCTAATGTTAGAACAAACTTCCGGACTAGCCTTCTACCGATGCCGCTGGAAAAATCTACTCGAACCTAGCGTAAAACCCTAGGTGCCATCCGCTTTTTTAAATAACACTTTACTTATGCGGACTTTATTTATTTTTTCTCTGTATAACTCTCAAACTATACAATTTCCTCTTTTTAAATTCCTTTGCAAAACTTATTGTTTGAAATGATCCCAAATCAAGAGTCGAATAAATCTTAATAATAAAAGGAAAAATTTAATCTGTAGAAGAATAATTCATCAACATTCAATACCGTATATTTAGAATAATGTAACAATAATGCATATATATAGATGAACTGTTGAGAGAGAATTATCTAGGTGCTCTACGAGAATAATATGTGCGGAACAAAATGTGCAGATACTTAGGTTGTTCGAACCATCTTTGCCTGTATTTATAGGCCGGAGAGAGGTCGAGCATCCTATCACAATTAGAGTACAGATAGGCGTGTGTGTGGGCTTATGTAGAGCAATTAAAAAGCCTTATTCTCTCTCAACTAAACCAGCTAATACTAAGACTCTTTATAAAAAGATAATTACAATTAATTTGAACACAATAAATCATATTCTAACACTTATTATTTTAGAAGATAACGAGGATGATATGAGTAATATTTAATTAACCTATTGCCTATTTTGATATCAAGTCCAAATTTTGACAAAAATAATATTCCTAAATGTCTATTTAGTGTTTTAAAGAATATGTTTATTTAGAGCCTAAATGTCTAATTAGTGTTTTTAAACAAAAAAACAAGCATATAGAAAAACTAAAAAACAAGCAACAACTTACAACAAAGTCGAAGGAGCAAACATAGTGAGTTCATCAATGACGTAAGAGTGCGTTGGCATTTGCATTGATGATTATTATACCTACTAAATAGGGTCAATCATTTTGAATGAGAAAATTCACCATCACAAATATAATAGGCAAACATGTAAGGGTCCGTTTGGTTACTTATATTTTCGGTTTATCACTTAAGTTCTCAACAAATACGTAACCATCGATTCGTTGAAGCATATAATAATATGAAAAAAAGTAAAGTTGAAGTTAATATTATATTATATTGACTGAATATACTATAGAAGACTATTAGTTATTTTTCATACAATATATTCTATTTTATTAATAAAATATATTTTAAATATAGCTTTTTTCATATATTAACAGATTCAATCAGTTCTGCAATTTCAGTCATAGCTTCATAAATTTCAACATAATTAAGCAATTTTTATATTATCAAACATGCTCGTAGTATTTTATTTTAGATTCCATTTGTCAACAACAAAATGAGATGAATTGACAGAATCAAATGAAATTAATGAAATTGTGACTGAAGTAGTTTATAATATTTATATTACCAAAAATTGGAATTATAAAAAATCATATGTATAGTATATTTTATTGATAAAATTAAAAACAAAAACTATGTAACTCTATATATTCGAACATAAAAGTAACTCCAACCTTAATCATATTTATATTATATTTCAACCTTAATCATATTATATTAAAAGTAACGTGTTTTGGTTAAAAAGTTAACCGTGACAAGCTGAAAATCAGAGATATCAAAACGGCTGCTATTCAAGTAATTAAAAGCAGGCATATAAACAAATTCACAGTTTTTAATGTGAATAAATTTATTAATTACAAAAGCAAATACTCATATAGAATAAATAATTTAAAAATTAAATACTAGAACAATCAAAAGCGTACGTTGAGACTAAATGAGTTTTTTCCACTTTTAGTCCTCCGACTATTATGTCATTGACATTTTTGGTACTCGACTTTGATTTTTTTTCATTTTTAGTCCTTGACTATTGCGCTAGAGACACTTTTGGTACCCGTATTTGAAAATTTTCATATTTAGTCCTTCAACTTTTATAAAAGTGACACTTTTGGTCCTCCAACTATTATAATAGTGACATTTTTAGTCCTCCACTTATTATATTAAAATCATGATGAGAGTACTAAAAGTGTCAATTTGACAATACTCAGGGACTAAATGTGGGAAACCTTGAAGTCGGGGACTAAAAGTGTCTCTAGCACAATAGTCGAGGACTAAAAATGGAAAAATTAGAAGTCAAGTACCAAAAGTGTCATTGACATAATAGTCGAGAGACAAAAAATGACAAAAACTCAGACTAAATCTACGCCCTATATTTTTGTGCAAAAATATTCGTATTATCTATGCCTCGTATTCATCTCTCCCAATATTGTTTTTACTTTTTTTGTTGTCAATAAATTTTCTCACTTTTATTTTCCAATCATATTTACTTTAAGGTTTTGCTTATGACGTGGAATAGAAATTTTAGTTAAATTTATAAATATGTAAATTCTTCTTATTAGTATTGTTAATATGGATTTTTCATTTAGATTTGTTTCCATTTCAGACGATATTTATGTAGATTAAATAAGACAAGACAATACACAAAAGACCATACTTGACTCACATAATAGTAAACAACACATATACTAATAAGCTTTTACAAGACAATTTTAAATATATCAGATCATATTCACAAAGATAAACTACAAAAAAAAAATAGAGCTCATTTGGTAACATAGTAATTGGTTGGATCAACTAAATATGTTGAAATTGATAAAATTTTGACTGAATCTATTGAATAATAAACATAATACCAAAAATATGTTTTAGTAATAAAATAATGGAAAATTTATGTAAGAAACGAAATAATGCAATAAATTATGTAAAATATAAATAGGCATACGTAGTAGATTCAACCAATTGAACCATAAAAGCAAATTCTTCTTATTTGTTTAGATCATTACATAATTTAGCGCATGAAATACAAATCTATGTATTCGTTAAAAAAATTGACTTATAGGACTTATAAGCTAAAAAAGGTTACCAAAAAAACTTATAATCTAGAAGTAAAAATAATATAAATTGCAAATTATAAAGAAGGAATTAACTTTTTAATTTGTTCACTAAACCTCATAAACAATGAACACATGCCGTCGAGTATCATATCTTATAACTTTGTTATCTTTTCTTTTTTGATTGTTTAGAAAATCTTAATTTTTTTAATCATTTATTTTATGATTTCTATCATTTTTTTCTTCATTTCTGAAACTCTATTTACAACAATTTTAATTTTTTTTGTTTCTAATGCCAATAAAATTTGACATCCATTGAGTTGGGGCCTGAAGTAATCAGAGCTGAAACTTAACCCATTGAGTTTGAAATCCTTATGTATCTAGTGGATTTCGAACTCGAGACTTCTCACTAGGCACGATAACTTCACAACCAGCCGAACTGGAATGGTTGGTTCTTTCTCCACTCCCGCTATATATACTATCTACCTTTTAATTCCCACCTTCGCCCTTCATAAATTGTTAAATTCATTTCCATCTCCTCACTCCCATGCATGTCCCAATTCAAGCTTTATCATAGAAATAATTATCTGCCTGTGATAACTCTTTAATTACATGGCCGCCGCACAAACACAGCTTAAACGCCGCCGAGAGGAAACCACTGAATCAGTCGATGAAGAAACCTCAAAGCGCCAAAAATATAACCATCTTCTTTCCATTCTCGAGGAAGAAGACGATGATAAAGATAAACCCATGCAAGAAAATCTATCAGCCATTTTTACTTCCCTCCAACAAGAGCTCTACTCTTGTGAGCCTCCTCCGCCTTGCAACACGGCGGAGCAACCCGGTCCGGTAGTCGGACCGGTCGCTCCAAAAACGAGCTCCGAGGAAGGGGATGAAGTAAGTGTCATGAGGCGCCTTCTTGAGGCTTCTGACGATGATCTTGGAATTCCGAGAAGCGGCGCCGTCGTCGACGGCGGCGCGTTGAATGGGATCAACGCCGGGGGGTCGCAGGCTAATGATGGGTTCTGGGAAGTTGAAGATGAGATCGCTAACTACTACGGATTGTTATTTACTACATTCATGGCCTAGTAGTTACGCTAGCTGGTTAGGTGGGGACTGAAAGCAACAAAAACACAAGCATGGGGAGGAAACTCGAAACTTTGAAAAGATGGAGAGGTGATAGGGCCTAAGGGAACTAGGAAGAGGATTTTGGGCAAGTATGGGGAGGAATGTCGAAACTCTGTGTCAAGTTTTTTATCCTCATTTTTTCATTTTGCCAAAAATATTTCACGTGTTCAATTTGGGCAAGTTTGACTCAGCTTTGATTCAAAGAATGTTCAATTAAGTTGTGAATGTTAGATTGTTGTGTATAACCAATCGATGAGAATCTATTTAATTTATTCTCATTTATGTTTTGTTAATATTAAGGGAATATGACATTAATTTGTTTGGTTGAAAAATATTTTATGTTCATTCCGTTGGAAGGTTCCTATGAGTAAATCACACAATTTTTGAGACAAATGATTAAATAAAGTAATTTGGTGAAAAAGAGAGAAAAGAGATAATAATCATATAAAGTAGGGGTGGGCATAAAACCCGAACCGGTACCGAACCGTCCCATAATGGTACCGAATTGAATACCGGGTATTTAAACGGATCTATAGATTTTTATCCCGTATCGAAACCGTACCGTTTGAAACGGGTACGGGACCGATCCTAGATTTTGAGAACCGCAAAATACCGGACCAAACTGTTCGTAAATAATACATTTGAATTTTTTTATATTTTTTCTATATCAATAGATCTAGACCAACAATTTTATACCACCCCAAGTATGTATTCATGTGTCCCTAACAATATATATATATATATATATATATATATATATATATATATATATATATATATATATATATATATATATATATATATATATATATATATATTGTTAGTTTTTCTTTTTAGATAATTCATGTTATATTTTGGTATGTATCAAAAGAATATTAAAATTTTAGAAATCATTAATGAATATTTATTTCTAGTAATATAGTGTACATGACTTTTTGTTGTATCATGTTTGTGCTTTTTTTACAACTTAATTAATATGGTTTAAATCTTAGCTCTCAAGGTTCAACTATAAATTAAATCAGAACTACGGAGTAATATTTAACCTAGAACGAAGAAGAAGATTGTTGAATATTTCTATTATATTCAACAATTTGATGATATTCGTTTTTATATTTTCACATGAACTTAGTAAATTACAAATGATATTTATCTCCTGCGTCATCGTTTTGCTGTACTTTTTCTTAGCTGTGTTGCACTATTTGTGTATTTGTGAATTTTAGTACTACGTATGCAATTTCTTGTATTTATTTCAACATTTCATGTGAGTTGGTTGGTGTGATGATATCTACTAATTGCAAGATTTGTTCAAAAAATTTAGCATGTGTTTGGCATTGTACCGTACCGTTTTGTACCATTCCGAAACGACATGTACCGAACGGTTCTATCCTTGGAACCGGAGCGTACCGGACCGTTAAAACCCTAACGGATACATTACGGGTTTTATCAATTTACCGAACCGTTCCGGACGGCGCCCACCCCTAATATAAAGTGAAAGTAAATAAACATAAGTTATGGGAGAGCATAATGTGAGACTTGACATATAATAAATTAGGGGTGGGAAAACCCGAACCGAAACCCGAAAACCGGTCCGGACCCGGCCCGAATTATGATATCGCTCCGAGTTTTTTTCTTTTTGACCGACCCGAATAAAAAAAAAACCGAATCAAACTCAAAATTTTGGGCTCTTTAACGGGCCCTAAAATCTATAACCCGGCCCGAACCGATAAAACCCGAAACAATTAGCCTTAATATAAAATCAATATAATATATCAATATAATTGTTAAATTAATTCCTAATACTACCTCTGTTCTTAAATAAGTGCAACATGTGAAATTTTACACTATTCACATGTTCTACTTTGACTACATTTTATTTATTGATGTATTAATATATATTTTTTGAAAAATATATTATTAAATTTGTCTCATTGTCATTTTCAAAAACTATTTTTTTAAATTTTTTACTAATGGAGAATTATATATATTAATGGTCAAAGTTGTGTCTCGGCAAGTGTGAAATGTTGACTTTTGCACTTATTTAAGAACGGAGGAAGTATATGATTGTAATCATGATGGACGAAAAAATGACTTAATAACTTTTAGTGACTACTAATATGTTCAATTTATTTACCGTAATGACCATGAAAAAATATTTATAGTAACTTTAGTCACATTTTTATCCAAAAATTTTATTTCATAACATTTTTAGAACACCTATATTACTTATTTTTATGCATCTTAAACAAAATATTATGATAATTGTCTTCTTTGGATTTGAATTCTTGGTGATTTTGGAGACTAATATTTGTGCTTTTTATTAATTTTATTTGTGGTTTGTACTTTTTATTAATTTTATTTGAAAATAGATTTTAAAATATAAAAGAAAAATGAGTGATTTCACATTCGGGCTTTAACCGACCCAACCCGAACCCGGACCGAACCTGGGCTACAAAAAACCCGACTCGGACCGAATATAGTGGGCCTTTTTCGGTCCCTAATTTTCATAACCCGATGCCTTACAAGTAATTTCCGGGTTTAGCAAAAACCCGACCCGGACCGGACCGATCCCACCCCTAGTAACAGCTAACAGAGTAACAGGCGACACTACTAAAAAACCTCGGTATAGGCACGGATTTTGGCTCGGATAATCCCTTAAAATTCCCAGATTATCGCTCTTGGCTCGGTTATGGCTCGGAAATGGTTTCCGTGCCACCTGGGTCGATCCAAACGTGTTCGCACGGATTATAGGATCCGTGTCAACACTTGGCATGGCGTTTGTCTAGAATTTTGCGTCCAAAACTTAGCAACCAAATCCCTAAAAAATTGGCACGGATATCTCTTGTCTCAGAATTTGCCTCGGATTATAGGAACCCAACCGACCCAGTTTTATAGTGATTTATGGATCGGATAAATCTGTGCCAACTAGTATATCAGGTATAAAAAAACGTATACCGTACAAATAAATTTTCTATACGTTTCAATTTTTTTTTGAAAAAAATGTTATCTTTCTGACCATACATAACAATTCAAAATTCACATATATATACAACACCACATACATGCACAATATTCACAATTCACAACCACAAGCATAACATAAACAGAACTAAGATTAATAAGCATTTGAAAGAAAACAGTAATTAAGCAGTCCAAGCAAATGGCTAAAAAAGCCATTAAATGCAGTTACAATAAAAAATGTTCAAGTTTGGGAGTTCAATTAACAACATCAAAAATATCATCCATGGGCACGTCATGAGAGTCGTTTAGAACGCTGTTAATTCCGTGAGGGGTCAGTGTTCGGAAACCAGAGAACTCGGGCAGCAGGACACTCTGGTTGATGCTCCGGACCCGCTCCAAATATGACATGAACGTCTTCGTCATGTTGGCTATCTGGGCTTGCCAAATCTACTGCTGCTGGGCAAATCGAGCATCAACCTGCTCCTGAATGCGGGCATCAATCTCTTCTTGGTTCGGTCCCGTGATTCGGCTTGTGCAATCCATGCTGCCCGACAGCACCTCTGCCTCGGAACCCGTCCCAAACCGCCGCCCCTTGTACTCCGGCACGGCCTTGCAAAACAACTCCGTATCATCAATGTCAAAGGACTTCCCCTCAGATTCTACTTGGGCCTTCAGATCATTGTACTTTTCTGCAAAATATAACAAAGAATTATATTTAGCAAGTAAAATAAACAACTATTACAAATATTACAACTCTTACAAAATATAACAAAGAATTATATTTAACAAAGGTATATATAAATAACGTACCCTCGTTTCAACAACTCTTGGAGGAGGATCACCAGCCTTGGACACATACACCTTCTCAAAAACCTCAATCTTTAAAGGCCTTCTCTTCAAAGATTCAGTCTGTAATCACAACAAGAATCTTATGTTAATGAACTGTTAGTACAATTGAAATAAAACAAGAAATATAACAATTAAGAATTGTAATTACCATTCTTTGAACATGTGTGGTCACCGGAATCCGACCTCCACGATATTGCGAACCTCTTGCTGCCTCAGTGCTACGATTCTTTTTCCCTGCTACACTCTTCTTCTTAAATTCATCAGAACCCCAATACTCCTTGATGGAGTATATGGGTCTAGGCCCCATGACCCACATACTCAGAAGAACAGAGTGTACCATAATCACCTGGTGGGGCCCCCGTCGGCCGGATGATCTCCATTGGCCAGAAAGAAGTCTACCCAGAATATGATCCAGAAGCCAGGAGAACCGGGTGACCTCGTTGGCCGGGTCTTCATCGGCCATGCCCTCATCGGCCATGCCCTCATCAGCCATAGATAGCCTCTAGAACAGGATTTTATACTTAGTCATTTCTGTACACTTTGTATTCGGCCCATTAGAGGCCCTGTTGTAAATGGGCCTCCCAAGGCCAAGGTTTGGGAGCCCAACCCGAATTTTCCCTATAAATAATTCCTCTAGGAGTAGTTGCAGGTTGACAAATCATTTATTGCAAAGAGTTATTGCACTTCTCTCTCTAGCTCTCACTTCTCTCTAGGAGTTAATACTCCATCATTTGGTGCTTTCATTGAGAGATAGAACAATCAAGTTAGCATCCTTCGTCGCTACCAAGCACAACTAACTGATCATGGGAAGAACTAAGTCCAACTGTAACCTTCTTGGCAAGGCCTTCCCTGAGGCCCAAGAGGACAGGGAACACGAGGAGGACGCTACGGCCGATAAGGCCGCAGGCGGGGATGTTTTCCAGGAAGTCATCGACCTCACGAATGATCTTCACCATCAGCTCAACGGTAGCGCCCCCGACGTCGGCATCGGCCTGGACAAGAAGCGCCTGAAGAAGGGCGACAATGCCTCGGGGCAGCCGGCTTCTCCTGCCGTTGACCCTCAGCTCCAAGCCGCTCTTTCGGCCATCATCGCCAGCCTGGCCCAGAACCCCACCGTCCTCAGTGCACTCATGCCAAGGACTGGGGAGAACACTACACCGCCTCCTCAGCCCCAACCATTGGCCATCAAGCTAGGCAAAGACGAAGGGGTGGTGCCCCAGGACACCTCTTCATTCCACTCCCACCCTGCTTCCCCACTTTAAGCTGGACCGGCCCCAGCGCGTGGAAGAGCCTCGACCTTTAATAGGCTAGGTGACACGCGTCGTCGGCCTGCTTCGGAGAGGATGGCGGGACAGATTGGTGAACGTGAGCCTGGCTCACCAAAGGAAAGCTTGGGGTACGTATCCCGGACAGCGGATCGGCCCCGCCTGGACAAAGGCAAGGGTAAGCTGCATGAGGGTGACGCACGCCACCAAATCAACACGGCTCACGCAGCCCTCCTACAGATGCAGAGCGCCACCATGGCCGCCAAAGACCCCCGCGACG